AAAAAAAAAAAAAAGGGCAAGGCATGGTGACAGGTGCCTGTAATCCCAGCTACTCAGGAGGCTGAGGCAAGAGAATCACTTGAGCCTGGGAGGCGGAAGTTGCAGTGAGCCGAGATCACACTACCACACTCCTCCAGCTTGGGCAACAGAGTGAGACTGCATCTCAAAAGAAGAAAATGTTCACTGTAATAGGCTTTCCTGAAGGTTAGACAGGCTTTGTCCCACTCTGCTGGCTATAAGAAGTAGGAATAAGGCCCTGGGTGACACACCATCTGGCTTGTTCTCATCTATTTTTATTCTTTCAGAAAGTGGACACAAGCCATAGAGTTAGAACAGCCTTTTTTTTCACCACAGCGGTGAAAAATGCAGAAAAATCACAATAATTTGAGTTCTTCAAAAACCTTTGGCCGCATTGGCTCTATTCTGTACATTGCTAGACTTCTAACATGATTACAAGTAACCATTAACTGGTTAAAACCAAAGAGTGTGTGTATGTGTGTGTGTGTGCGTGCGTGCGCTTTTGAGGGGAGGGGTTCTGTTAGCTTCCAGGTCAATGCAATATCTGTTTATCCTGTTTATTGATCTATTTTTGTAAGTGCTCCATGATTCTTTGAAAAAAGTATACTATATATGCTTTAATTTTTGGATACAGATGGACATACGTACTCAAACTAGTTGTTTTTCAATATGTACTTTAAATTTTTCTCTCCACCTGACTTAGTTGTATATTAAAGTCTTCCATGAGGATAGTGGATTAACAAATGCTTTCTATAATTCTGTCATTTTTGCTTTATATATGTTTATGTGTAATGTAACTAGGTGCATAGAGGTTTAGACACTTTCTTGTGAAATGTTTCTTTTCAGTAGGGGCCATACCTTTTTCACAGCAAAGAATTTTAATATTAAAATACATTAACAAAAAAAGACCAAACATTTAGCTAGCCCATCCTACAGACCAGGCACTCTTCAAAAGTGCCTTATGAATATTAACTACATACTCACTACAAGCTTGCAAAGTATGTGCTATTACTATCTCCAACTTACAAATGGGAAAACTGGCACGGAATGTTTAGGTTGCTTGCCTGAATTCACAAGCTAGTAAGTGGTACAGCACAGACTGGAATCCAGACACTTCGTGCTCATAACCGCTGTCCTATTTATTGAGTATTTGTATTTATTCTACGTGGCTAAGCACTGTTTGAGCAGTGACTGAAACTCAAGTTTTGCCGGTGACACAATTTCTCCCAACAGGGAGGGGTGGATTTTTAGAAAAATCAACAATATGGCGAGGCACAGTGGCTCACGCCTGTAATACCAGCACTTTGGGAGGCCGGCAGGTGTATCACAAGGTCAGGGGATCAAGACCATCCTGGCTAACACAATGAAACCCTGTCTCTACTAAAAATACCAAAAATTAGCTGGGCACGGCGGCACCAACTTGTAGTCCCAGCTACTCGGGAGGGTGAGTCAGGAGAATCACTTTAATCCGGAAGGCAGAGGTTGCAGTGAGCCGAGATCGCGCCACTGCACTCCAACCTGGCCACGATGCAAGACTGTCTCAAAAAAACAAAAAACAAGCCTGTAGATTTTTAACACTTTTATATGTCTGATTTTTTTTCTTTTACGACAAAGTCTCACTCTGATGTACAGCCTGGTCTAATTCTTTTTTTTGAGAGGGAGTCTCACTCATTGCCTAGGTTTGGCTCACTGCAACCTCCCCCCGGGTTGAAGCGATTCTCCTGCCTCAGCCTCCAAGTAGCTGGGATTACAGGCATGCATCACCACACCAGGCTAATTTTTGTATTTTTAGTAGAGACTGGGTTTCGCCATGGTGGTCAGGCTGGTCTCGAACTCCTGACTTCAAGGTATCCACCCACCTCGGCCTCCCAAAGTGTTGGGATTACAGGCATGAGCCAACACGCCCAGCCCTAATATTTTTTTTTCAAATAAAAAGTTTTAAATCACGTTGAACTAGTCCCTTAAAACTAGAGATGACAGAAGGCATGGCAAGCCATTTCCTAGTCCCCCTAAGACTTGAGATTGTGGAAGCCCCAGCAAGTGATTCTCACATTCTGCATACAGCAGGAGAGCTGGCAGAAGCCCTAGCAGGTAAACCACCAGTCACCCCCAAAACAAAAGGCAACAGGACGTCAGATCACCCCTCAATCACTTACAAACACAAAAGGTGGATTCCAGGCTGGATGCAGAGGCTCACGTCTGTAATCCCAGCATTTTGGGAGGCCGAGGCAGGTAGATCACAAGGTCAAGAGATTGAGACCATCCTGGCCACCATGGTGAAACCCCATCTCTACTAAAATAGAAAAAAAATAGCTAGGTGTGGTGGCATGCTCCTGTAGTCCCAGCTACAGGAGGCTGAGGCGGGAGAATTGCTTGAACCCAGGAGGCAGAGGTTGCAGCAAGCCAAGACTGTGCCACTGCACTCCAGCCTGGAGACAGAGCAAGACTCCATCTCAAAAAAGGAGTCCAAACATGAAGACCTCCATCATCCCAAAACTAGCTCCAGCAAACCCCCCTCACTCACCTCTAAAAGTATAAACAGAAACCCCTGAAATGACCCTTTCAGATGCCCCTCAACACTAGAGAATGGGGAGCCCAAGCCCAATGGCCCACCCAGTCTATACCAATAGTACAGGCAAGGGAAGACCCAGAACATGACCCTCCCCAACTAGGGATAAGTGGAGCTCCATCCAATAATCCCACCATCCTCTCCCCAAACAGTATACAATAAGGCCTCTGTCTGATAAATCCTCTTGATCTCCCCAACACTAGAAAAAAATGGAAGTCCCAGGCACTGACCCTCCAGTTACATCCAACATCAGAGACAATAAGCACTTCACCGAGTGATTCTCCATATGCCTCCCACATTAATAACGATGGAAACTCCAGAAACAACCCCCAATCCTCTACACACTCAAGAAAGGAAATCCAGCAAATGCCACCATGCTTACCCAACACGGCTCAAACGTGCATCCCTTGTCTTTCCAAGACTATACCTAAGTCTCCCCAGCAATGATACCCAAAACAAGGAATGGTCAGAAACTCAACAGGCAGCCCGCCCCATTCAACAACGTCAGTGACAAACTCATACCCCAGAAAACCACCTCTCTTCCCATTACCCCAAAGTAAGAGTTGATAGAAGCATCAGCAGGCAACACCCTTAACATAAATGAGGAGGGGATCCTAGAATACAAATCCCCTGTCACCTCTAACATGACTTGACTGCCCCTACAGTGACCCCTCCTTTATCCCAAACACAAGGAATAATCTTAACTCCAGGAAGCAACTCTTGCAGCCTCCCCTTGCATGAGTATCTCTACCCCCATATTATAGGTTGATAGAGACCTATCAAATCAAGTGTCCCCTGCCAGGGGAATGTTGGGTACTCCAGTCTCAGAACATGGAAGACAACGGTAGTCCTGACAAGCTGCAAATACTCCAAGCTCCCATAATACAGGAGGTGATATAGCCGAGCAAGCAAACCTTCCAACATCTCCTTCGCCCAGAAGACCCTTAGCAGCAGCATTCCCAGTTGACTCTCAGAGCATCTTCTCCTACTCGGTCACTAGAAGCAAAGAAAGACTGGAGCTGGAGGTGAGGCAGAAAGAGAAAGGGGAGAAGGGGAAAAGAGAAGAGGGGAAAAGGAGGCCTTCCAAGTTGTCCCAAACCCAGCCATGAATTCCAGATGCTCCAAACAGCTACAATCAGATCAGGCACTCCAGCACACACACACACAAAATTCTGAGCTGATGAAAAAAGGGGGTCTGAAGGAAAGGTGGGTGTGTTGGCTAGCCTTCAGGATGCTCACCAAAGACCCTTGCCACCTGATATTCCAGTCCTGTGTACCCCACCTCCAATGCTGAATCAGACATGACCCATATGATCAGTACAGCACTGCTGCCTGTGACATCTGAGACTAGGTCATAAGACATGCTGAAGTTTCCTCCTTGGTCTCTTCTATTGCTCCTTCTCTAGCGGAAGCCATCCACCATGCCATGAGGAGATTCAAGCAGCCCCGCGACCAGGAACCAACTCACCAGCACCACATTGCTAGCCAGGGGATGAGCCATCTTAGAAGACCTCCAGACCCAAATATTGAACTCTAATTAATGAATCGTAAACTATCTGCAACCTACTTAAGATGAATTGATGGCTGATACACAGATGTACATGACAAAGCAAGTACAGTAAAATGTTACTGATTAATGTTCCTGTACATTTTTTCAAAAATTATTCCCATGCTTGAACGCTGCTCATAATTTGCTAGTATTCAAGAACTCCTACCAAGCAATAAGAGAAAGACGAAAAGTTATTTAAAGAGCAAACGCTAACAACGGTTCACAGAAATACATACGAGTGGCTCTCCTAAGAAAAATTGAAAGTAAAACATGAGATTTCCTTTGTCATTGGTCAGATCGGGAATTGTTTTCTTTTTACTTTAAAAAGATAACAGATTGGCCAGGATCTGGAGACAGTGGTACCTCCACATCATAATGACGGGAACTCCATTAGTCCAACCTTCGCAGGCTAAGACGAGGACCCAACCTGACCCAGAGCCAAGCCGAGCCCAGGATACCATGGGGATAGGCGGAAAGAGCCGAACTGAAGCAGGGAAATCGGAGAAAACCGAGGCAGGGCGGAGAAAGCCGAACTGAACGAACTGAGCCGAGGAGCGGTGGGAGCTCAGGTCGGCCGAGAGAAACAGGAAGAGCCACAGCCGGTGGCAGGAGTGAGCCGGGCCGAAAAGCAGCGGGAAGGACGGCGGAGAAGCCGAGCCAGGGCCAGGAATGGAGGGAGGGGAGGTCTCAGGTCCAAGACAGTGAGGAACAGGCGGCTCCATGCTGGGGCGCGAGGCGAGGACGCGGGGGGTGCAAAAGCCGAAGCTGGGCGGAAAGAGCCGAGGCCGACACGGAGGAAGTCGAACCCGGACGGGGAAAGCCCGAGGTCTAACGGGGGTAGCCGAGGCTAGGCGGAAGCAGCCGAGGCCGGGCGGGAGGATCCGAACTGGGTCGAAAAGCGGCGCCACACGGCGCCCAGGGAGGGAGGTCGTGGGGCAGACAGGGCGAGGGGAGGACGGCAAGTGTGGCGACGGCTGGTGGGGGAGCAGAGCTGGGGAGAAAGAGCGGAGGCTGGGAGCCAGTGTGGGGGTTGGGGACGAACTAACCGAAGCAGGTCCTGGAAAGCCGAGGTCCAGCTGGTAGCGGAGGTGGTAGCCGAGGCCAGGTGAGAGGAGACGAGGCTGGGGCGGAGGAGCTGAGGCCAAGTGGAAGGAGCCAAGACCGGATGGGAGGAGCTGAGGCCAAGTGGGAGGAGCCGAGCGGGCGAAAAACGCGGAAAGTTGAGCCAGGATCCATCTAATTGGGATCAGGGTAAGAGAGGTCAGGTGGCTGTGGTGGGGAAGGGGCCGTAGGTGGTTGAGCCCGATGCTGTCAACATGGCCAGAGTCACCTGCAGGGCTTCAAACTGCTTTTGCAAAAATTGTAATAGAAAATTATGACTGAGAAATCTGACCTAACTCACTTCATCTCTCCTTTAACCTCCAGACTGCCCTTGGTCATTGCTGGGTGTGGGCCTAGGTAGCCCTGGGAAATATTTAGTTACAGTAATAATAGCCTTTCCTAAAACCAAACCTCCATATAAAACTAAGAGACCACCAAGTTAGGATTAGGAAAATGGCCTGAATTCTGCTAAAATGTAGACTTGGTTGAGGATTGCCAGCCCTTGTTCAGCTGGTCACAATATTTGTAACTCCTCCAGTTACTCCTGTGGATAACATCACTAGTGTAGAAGCTAAGACTGGCCTTTTGAGATGTCATTTAAGACTTTTGGGCCAGATGCAGTGGCTCAGGCCTGTAATCCCAGCACTTTGGGAAGCCTAGGTGGGTGGATCACCTGAGGTGAGCAGTTCGAGACCAGCCTGGGAGTCAGCGTAATAGGCTGTCAGATGAGAAGACTACTGCAGACCTTCCAGTGTGGTTGTGAGAATTAACCATGTGAAGCTTCTAGCATAGCAACAGGCACCTAAATATTGGTTCTCTTTGCTTTTCCAGTTCCCAAATAAATCAGCAGTTAAACCCTAGGGATGTGTAAGGATCCCACTGGGTCTCAGGAGACCACGTCATTCTCAGCCTCAAGTTGCAACCTCCAGTCACAGCCCTCAAGGATATGTTCAACCACTGTCTCTACCTACGAGCAAGTCTTTCAAACCAGAAAGTGATCAAAAGCCTTTACATGGCATCGCCGAAAAGGAGAGGGGACTAAACTCTGTTACTACATGTCAGGATAGTGGTTACTCTTGGTGCAGGGAGGGACCAGGAGTTCTTGGAGGACAGCCATGTTCTGTCTCTTAATCTGGGTGCTGATTGGTTATGCAGTATTCAGTTTGAGAAAATCAAGCTGAAATATAGATGTATAATGTAATAGTTCAATAGGTTTGGGTTTTTTCATTTTTTTTTTTTTTGAGACAAAGTCTCACTGTTGCCCAGGCTGGAGCACAGTGGTGCGATCTCGGCTCACTGCAACCTCTGCCTCCTGGGTTCAAGAAACCCATCTCTACTAAAAATACAAAAATTAGCCAGGTGTGGTGACACATGCCTGTAAACCCAGCTACGTTGGAGGCTGAGGCACGAGAATCACTTGAACCCGGGAGGCGGAGGTTGCAGTGAGCCGAGATTGCGCCACTGCACTCCAGCCTGGTTGTCAGAGCAAGAGATTCTGTCTAAAAAAAAAAAAAAAGAAGAACTTTTGCATTCTGACAACCGGATGATCCCTGTGGCCCCCACCCAGAAACAAACGTAGCATACAAGGACCCTTTATTTCCATGCATCCAGGACCAATTAGCAGCACCTGTTTCCTAGTCCCCTGTCCACCAAACTATCTTTGAAAAACCCTAGCCTCCAGATCTCCAAATTTTCAGGTTCCCCATTTAGACCACTGTACATTTAAAAAAAATTTTTTTTTAAGAGGGAGTCTCACTCTGTTGCCCAGGCTGGAGTGCAGTGGTGCCATCTCAGCTCACTGCAAGCTCCGCCTCCTGGGTTGAAGCGGTTCTCCAGCCTCAGCCTCCTGAGTAGCTGGGACTACAGGCGTGCACCACCACGCCCAGATAATTTTTGTATTTTTAGTATACATTGGGTTTCACTGTGTAGGTCAGGCTGGTATCGAACTCCTGACCTTGTGATCCACCTGTCTCGGCCTCCCAAAGTGCTGGGATTATAGGTGTGAGCCATCATGCCCAGCCAGCTGTACATGTTTTGAATTTTTTCTCTATTGCAATTCTCCTGCCTTGATAAATCAGCTGTATATTGATGAGCAAGAGGAACTTCTCTGCTGGTTTCAGGTCCCCTGCGCTCCTGGTCCTGTTGCTCGGGCGCTGCCACCATCCCCTACCAGGGCTGCCCCACGGCAACAGCTGCCCGTTCTCTGCCCCTGTGAATGCTCATCGGGGATACTGCCATAGGGACACCCCATCGGCCTGGCACACACTTTCTCTGAACTGTGCTGAGACCCTGTGGCCCCTCACCCGTTTATCTTCACATGGGAATTCCATTCTGGTGTTTGCTTTTCTGAGGGCTCGAATTATGACACTGTTTTAGGAATGAGGAAACTGACACGTGAAGGCACAGAGGGGTTAAGTAACTTACCCAAAGCTGCACAGCTGGGAAGGTATTTAAATGGGAGAGTCTCACTACAGAATCAGTACCCTTAACCATTCTGCTATGAGGGAAAGAGAGAGACAATGAGAGAAGCAAATCAACCTCCAAAAGAACACCCCTTATCTTGATTTTGTGGTCTCCCTAGCCTCTTTTTAAAAAAAAAGAAAGAAAGAAAAAGAAAAATCAGTTTCTCTCTTGTTGGCCAGGCTGAAGTGCAATGCCGTGATTTTGGCTCACTGCAACCTCCGACTCTTGGGTGCAAGTGATTCTCCTGCCTCAGCCTCCCAAGTAGCTGGGAATACAGGCCCATGCCACCATGCCCGGCTGATCTTTGTGTTTTTTAGTAGAGACAGGGTTTCACCATGTTGGCCAGGCTGGTCTCCAAATCCCAACCTCAGGTGATCCACCGTCCTTGGCCTCCCAAAGTGCTGGGATTGCAGGCGTGAGCCTCAGCACCTGGCCTTCCTGGCCTCTTTGAATGTGGAGTTTCTAATACTTTCATCTGTTTTTCCTAAGGCTGACAGGTCTAGAGTGCCTTTCTTTTCTATTTCAAAATATGCCCTGAAGATGGCAGTATTACACCACCCTAAATCCTCAAACCAACATGGTTTCTTTTCCATTTGAACCCAGGCTAAGAATCACTAAGGCAGTACTTTGTGTTTTGTAGCCAGTGTGAAAGGAAAATAAATCTCCCTCCATAATCACTAAGCCAAAGGGAAAAGTCAACCTGGGAACTGCATCGGGGAAACCTGCCTTCCATTCTACTCCTAAACCATTCAGGACATAGGCATAGGCAAGGACTTCCTGACCAAAATACCAAAAGCTTTGGCAACAAAAGCCAAAATAGACAAATGGGACCTAATCAAACTCCACAGCTTCTGCACAGCAAAAGAACAGTCCTTAGAGTGAATCGGCAATCAACAGAATGGGAAAAAATTTTTGCCATCTACCCATCTGACAAAGGGCTGATATCCAGAATCTACAAAGAACTAAAACAGATTTACAAGAGATAAACAAGCCCACTCAAAAGTGGGCAAAGGATATGAACAGACACTTTACAAAAGAAGACATATATGAGGCCAACAAACATATGAAAAAATGCTTATCATCACTGGTCATTAGAGAAATGCAAATCAAAACTACATTGAGATACCATCTCACGCCAGTCAGAATGGCGATCATTAAGAAATCTGGAGACAACAGATGCTGGAGAGGATGTGGAGAAATAGGAATATTTTTACACTGTTGGTGGGAGTGTAAATTAGTTCAACCATTGTGGAAGACAGTGTGG